CTCCCTGGATTCCCCTAGGTCCTGGGGTCCCCATGCCTTGATTTGCACTCCTCACCTGAAATGACCTCCAAGAGCAACATGAGCTTGAGGCCATTGCGGAAATCCTCCTCCATGTTTTCAATCTGGGTGCCAGCCTTGCGCAGGTGTGAGTTGCACCAGGCAGTGAAGGTCTGGGGGCAGAGACAGCACTGAGACCCTAGCCCTGGGTCTGGGGGACATCGGGGTAGGTCTCAGAGCCCCCGCCCCAGAGTCAAGTCCTGGCTCAGCCACTGACTTGCTGTGCATCCAGGACCCAGTCCCTTTTCTCCCTGAACTTTCATTCTCCTGGAAAAGGACACATGGGCTCTAGGGTCCGCACAGTCCCAGTTTAGACTTGGGGTATGCCAGCTTTGGCCCGTCTCAAGCACTGGAGGGGGTTTTAGAAAATTGTAAAGCATATGCTCCAAAGCGTGGGGACCCTCTGACACACAAGGGCCAATGCAGGGTGATAACTGCCCTTCTAAGGCCTGCAAAATTCTGGACCAAAGCCTACCCAGTTCTGAGGGTTTTGCCTGAGGGATTGTGCATCTGTATTACTGTCCTCTCAGCCCCACTGACCGCCCAGGGCTGTTGTGAATGGGCCTCCAAGTAGAACGCGAGGGTACAAGAGCTTTGCAAGTCATGGAGGACCAGCTGGGCACAAGGACCAGCCTGATCCAGTTCCTGGAGGTGACTGCCTTCCCCTCTCCCTAGAGGCAGCCTCAGCCTCAGCCTCCATCTGGGACGGGAGGGTTGCTATGCAGCTCTGTCTCTATTGGGGGTGGGGGTGACCTGAAGCCTGATAGTACATTTCCACCAACCTACGAAGCCCTCAAGCCCTGTGTTCTGCCATCATCTGTAGGGTCCTTGGTAGAGTCTATACTTGGGCTCCAAGCCCAGCTGAGATGCTCACTCACTGTGACCTGGAGTATGCCCTTTGCCCTTTCTTGGGCTCAGTCTCCCCATTTGCATAATTAACTGGCCAGACTTCATGATGTCCCAAGGTCCTTCTTCCTCCAATCTGGTAGGATTCTAGAATTCAGAGCATTCCCCCCACCACAAAGCAATTAATCCTGGGAGATGACCCTGGAAGTTATTTGGAATTATTTCCCTCACCCAGCTTCCCTTCCTGAGACCAGCTTTTCAGCTGCCCTAGAAGCTGGACATGAAAGATGATGCTTTAGGGGCACCTGGGTGGCTCAGTTGGTTAAACAACTGCTTTCAGCTCAGGTCATGACCCTGGAGTCCCAGGATCGAGTCCCGCATCAGGCTCCCTGCTCAGCGAGGAGTCTGCTTCTCCCTCTGACCCTCCCCCCTCTCATGCTCTCTCTCTCTCAAATAAAAAAAAAAAAAAAAAAAAAAAAAGATGATGCTTTAAATATGTGAGGGACTGTCATTGCTGAGGAAAGGGAGTGAGCTTCCTATCACTGGAGGTGTATAAGCGAGTGCTGAACACTACTCGATGGGGCCCCAAGCACAGGAGAAGGTAGTTGGATTCTCCGTAGTTCCCTCCAGCCCTGGAGTCTGAGATGCTCTGGGTCTAGATAAAGCAGGGGGAAAGGCGGGACTGGGTGGGGCTTCCACGGTGGAGGAAAGGGCATCCTTCCATTTGACAAACACGACTTAATAAGATGTAGTCCCTGCCCTATAGGAGCTCGCAGTCAATCAAAGGGTCGTGTTGGTCTGAGAAGCGCTGGGAGAGACTAGTGTCAGGGAGAAGAGGGATTCAGATCAGGTGGGGGACCTCTTGGGGAAAGCTAATATTTGACCTGAGCTGCAACGGAAAAGCAGGAGTTATTCGGACAGGGAAGGGCAGGCAAGGGCATTTTGCAGGCACACAGGCAAATGCTCAGCAGTGAAAAACAGCTGCTAGGTCTGTGGGGTTACAGTTATCTGGGTGCCACTGGAATGAAGCTGGGGGTGTTGGGGTATAAGTGGTGAGAGGCAGGCCGGAGGGGCGGCAGGGGCCAGGTCATGCACGATCTTGGGTGCTAAGCCAAGGAGTTTCAACTTGATCCTGAGGGCAACAGGGCATCAGGGAAGATTTTGGGCAGAGGGAGGTGGGCAGAACCGTGTTTTAGAAATCTCTTTCTGGTGGCAGAGTGGAGGCAAATGGCTTGGCAGAGCAGGAGGGAGAAGTGAGAAGGTGACGACTGGGATGGGGTGAAGGGGTAGGGGGGAGAGGCGGGGAGGAAGGGTGTCAGGAAGGGTCAGAGCGATGGGATAGAAACACTCTTCCTTGCTGAAGTATAAGCTTCCTAAGGCAGAGGACTTATTTTGTTTCCTGCTGAAGTTCTGACACCTAACACAGTGCCTGGCCCCGAGTAGGAGCTCCCTAAGAAATACTGAATGAATGTTTTGGGATGAGGTTGAATGAAGAGGACTCACGCATCAGGCAGGAGCTGGAGGGAGACACCAGGGGGAAGGGCAGGTGTAGGGCGGGGCTAAGCTGAGTACAGAGATGCTCAGGCTGGAGGAGAAAGAAACTCTGGAATGGCCAACTTCCAGGGATGCTGATTAATTTACAGAGCATCTACGGTTGTGCAGCCGTTGAATGAATGGATGAAGTGGGTGGCTGTAGGTTGGGTTGGAAGGGTATTCCTGATATTTTGTTAAATGATGCAGGCAAGTTACAGACTAGTGTGTGTCTCATGAAGGGCATGTGGACCTGGATCTGAGGGAAACCTGGTGGGTGCCAAGCAGATGGCAGCTGGAGCCAGGGGCAGGGATGACATCACTGGGAGACTGCCAGACCCAAGGACCGCAGCCCTGCTTGGAGACAGGTGCAGGAGGAACCAGAGGGGAAGCATGTCACCCGGGGCACTCCAGCCTAGTCAGCTGAGCCTCCCGGACTCTGGGGTCATCTCCTGTCATCTAACCCAGTAGAAGTGCTCTGATTCTAAATCCTGGGATTCTCAGATCCTGCAAATTCCACTGAGCACTCCTGTTCCCTGCCCTTTCCTGGAGACACACACTGTTGGCAAATGCTCAGCAGGGTCCAATGACTTCACGGCGTCCTCCCTCCCCCTGGCCTGCCACTCCCCAAAGTCTCCTCACTCCAGCCCGGATCATTTTCTCTTTTGGGAACCCAGGTGTCCTGCCCCCTCCACTTGGGAAAGTCTGGGAATGAAAATAGATCAGGGAGGGGGCCCCAGTGCCCTACAAGGCTGGGCCTGGGCAGCAGCTGCCCATGTGCCCCACTCCAGCTTCCCCAAGCTGCTGCCTCAGCACAAAGTGTCCATCTGGCCGGAGAGTCAGGTTACTGTGTAAGGGGACCCAGGCTCCCCTCCTCCTTGACCTTGTGGCCTTTTCAGCAGACTTAGGGCCCCTGGGTTGGGGGGGTATCTTGGGAAGGAGTGGGGGTGGGGCAAGCAAGGGGCAAAGACCCTCAGGTTGTGGGGGGGGTCCTGTTTTCTGACAGTATATGATTTGGGTCCTATCTCTGCCCCTTTCTGGGCCTCAGTTTCCTCATTTGACAATTGGGATGGAGTGGCAATGAACCCCAGGGTGGAGAGAATAGAGAGGAGAGAGTGGGGAGGGGTCTGGGATGGTTCTCTCCTCCCCCACACTCCCAAGTCCACTAGGTGCTGGCTGCAAGTCCTCAGGGTGGGGTCTAAGATATTTAACTAGAGAGTCAGGGGCCTGGGGAGAAAGATTATTTTCCCGACACCCCCCAAACTTGGATCTCCTGGGCTTCACCCAACCCCTTTTCGCCAGCAGAAGTGGGACAGTGGGCCCAGGGTAATGAACTCCCGGGGGGTGGGACCCTAGAAACTCTTCTTGTTATCCTAAACCCCTCATGAGGGCTCCCAGCCCTCTCTTCCAGCTCTGGGAGACAGCAGAGGACTGATGGGCCGAGCTCGGGCTAGGAGTGGCACTCTGGGTCTAGACGGACTCTGCCCCCGACTTGCTGAGTTGCCAAGGACAAATCGCCCGGATTCTCAGGCCTCAGTTTTGCCATCTGGAAATGGGTGAGCACTCACTTTCCGCTGCTGCTTCTCCCAGGCCGGGTCGAGCAGTAGGTCGCGGTCCCAGTCCTCCTCCTGTTCCATGTACTCGCCGCCCCCGCTGCCGCCCACGAAGGGCCCCTCCCCGACCCCCAGACCCTCGGGCTGCATCACCATCATCATCTTGCTCGGGCTCCTGGCTCCGCTCTGCTCGGCGCTCTCCGGAACACCGGGGCCGCGTTAAGTAGCGCCCGGCCCAGCCCCGGATCGAATTCGCGCTAAATATGGGGGAGGAGGGTGGGGCCGGATGGGGGCGAGGGCGCTCGGGTCGGGACCAGGCAAGAGGTTGCCCTGGGACCAGAGGACTGCAGGATTTGGGGGCGCTGGGGTGGATCCCAAGGCGGAGATTCGGGGCTCCCGTTCTGGCTCCGCCTCTTGGGCGCTGTGTGACCGTGAGAAAGCCATGGCCCTCTCTGTTTCCTCACGTGTGCAACGGAGATAACGATAATAGTAGACTGTAGACCGCTCTAGAAGCTGTCCCTTAGGCCTCCTCCTGACCCTCTCCTGGTGCCGCGCAGGTGGGAAACAGAGAGCCCTATCCCCATTTCACAGTCAGACACACCGAGGCGCCGACCTGTTTGAATGTTTTCTGGGGTGATGGAGACACTCGAGCATGGGGAGGGGTTCCAGGCCAGCTGGATGAGGCGATGCAGGGCTATTAATATCGGGGCGGCTGGGGGCTGAGGGGGAATGTGCTGAGCCGGGAAACCCCGACGCCACCGAAGACTGCAACTCAATCCTCCAAACCCGCCAGCGAGACCAGAGGGCGGGGCTTCTGCGGGGGGCGGGGCTCCGCGGCTGGGCGTGGCTATAACGTACTGCCCTCCCCGGCTCTAGCGCCAACGGGATTCCAAGCTTCTCCGTGGCTCATGCGGCCGTCCAATCACATGCCTGCATCTGCCGGCAGCTCCCGGTGACTCGAAACTCCCTTCGGAGCTTCTATTGGTCGTAGCAGGCATCCGTCTGCCACTATCCCCGCCCCAATACGGAAGCGGAGGGGTACTCGGGATCCGACAGCCGGTGGGTCCAGGCCATGGGGCAGCTCTGGGCGGTGGGGAGCGCGGAGGGGACGCCCGCGCGGCTGCCTCTCGTGCTCACTGCGCTGTGGGCCGCGGCTGTGGGCCTGGAGCTGGCCTATGTGCTGGTTCTGGGTCCCGGGCCGCCCCCGCTGGGACCCCTGGCTCGGGCCTTGCACCTAGTGCTGGCCGCGTTCCAGCTGCTCAACCTGCTGGGCAACGTGGGGCTCTTCCTGCGCTCGGACCCCAGCATCCGAGGCGTGATGCTGGCCGGCCGCGGTCTGGGCCAGGGCTGGGCGTGAGTGGGGCGCGGGATCTGGGGGCTGGCGCGGGGCTGGGGGGGGAAAGCAGGAGCCTTGGACAGGGGGAGGTGCCCTAGAACCAGAAGATATTAGAACCAGATTACAATAGGATCCGCTTGTTAGAGCCAGAACACTCTTTTACAGCCTGGGATGGTAGATCCAGAAGAAATATCATTCATTCACTTACAAATATTTAATGAGCACCTACTATGTGCAAGGTACTGTTCCGGCCACTGAAGGTTCAATAAAATAGATTCCTGACCTCCTGGAGCTGATTTCAGTGGGGGAGGAGGCAGATGATAAGCTACAGGCATAATAAATAAGGAAATTATATAAAGTGTTAGAAGATGGTGGTATGGAAACAAAAAGTAGAGCAGGGTAAAGGGTGTGCAGGTTGCAGTTTTAAATAGGGTAGTCAAGGTAGGCATTTGAGCAAAGACTTTAAGGATGTGGGGGAGTTAGCCATGTGGGAATCTGGCGGAGAGTGTTCCAGGTAGAGGGAACGACAGTGCAAAGACTGAGGCAGTTATGTGCCTTGCATGTTCAGGAACAGCAAGAAGGCCAGTGTGGCTGGTGTGGAGTGAGAGAGGGAGGAGAGGGAGGGTAGAGATAGAAAGACCTTGTGGGACATTGAAGGTTTAGCTTTTTACTGGCAGTGAGATGGACAGCCATTGTAGGGTTTTGACTTAGATTTTTTTTTTTTAAATTTTATTTATTTGAGAGAGAGAGGGCATGAGAAGGGGGGAGGGTCAGAGGGAGAGGCAGGCTTCCTGCTGAGCAGGGAGGCGGACATGGGACTCAATCCTGGGACTCCAGGATCATGACCCGAGCCAAAGGCAGTCGCTCAACCGACTGAGCCACCCAGGCGCCCCTTGACTTAGATTTTTAAGGATCAGCCTGGCTGCTGGGGTGAGACCATAACCAGAAGGAACCAAAGCTGGAATCAATCAGGGAGAGTCGTTAAGAGTCTCAAGCAGTAATCCTGGGGAGAGTGCATGGTGATTGGGACCAATGTGGTGACCGCGGAGGAAGTGAGAAGTTTGCCCCTGGATGTTAGAGGCCAGAGAAAGGCCTTAGGACTGGGATGTCTGAGCTGCAAGAGCCCTTGGACCCGCAGTGCTAGAACTGGAAGGGCCCAGGCAGGGGTGTTCGGCCTGCATTTCTGTATGATGGAGCTGAGGCTTACTGAGGGCAGTGGCTGTGCCTGCTTCCCCAGGATGGGCTCAGAGGCCGACCGGGCATGGTAGGGGGCCCTCAGAGCTGGTGGCAGAACTGACGCTGTGGTTCCTTCCCTGCAGTTACTGCTACCAGTGCCAAAGCCAGGTGCCGCCCCGCAGTGGGCATTGCTCCTCCTGCCGCGTCTGCATCCTGCGCCGGGATCACCACTGCCGCCTTCTGGGCCGCTGTGTGGGGTTCCGCAACTACCGGCCCTTCCTGTGCCTGCTGCTTCATGCTGCGGGCGTCCTGCTGCATGTCTCTGTGCTGCTGGGCCCTGCCCTGTCAGCCCTCCTGCGAGCCCACGCGCCCCTCCACACCGCCGCCCTCCTCCTGCTGCCCTGGCTCATGCTGCTCACAGGTGGGGAGCTTGGGAGGCGTCCACAGAGGCAGAGGCCCTTGCAGTGGGCCATTCTGGTGGGGGGTGGGATTTCCCGCTGGTTCTCCTGGTGATGTCCGGGGATCCCAGTTCCAATGTCATTTATGGGGGGTGAGGGCAGCCTGAGATTCAACTGGGTGTGCAGTACAGTAAAATACTGGGCCTTGACCCAGGTACAGAGTTCTGGCTAGGAGAATCAGGCAAGGATTCTAGGTGTTGGCAGAGAAGGAAGGACTGGTGGGAGTTGGGGGGGGTGGTTGGGATGGGGAGGGAGCATTCTAAATGGGGGTGCATTCTAAGTGAGCGTTGCAGACAGAACAAAGAGTTCTGGTTGGGCAAGGAGTAGGTTGGGCAAGGAGTAGGTTCAGACTGGATGGTGGAGACCCTCCCTGAATGCTGGTGTGAGGCGAGAGCCCTGACTTGACTGGACAGTAGGGAGCCAGTGAAAGCTATAGGCAGAGGGAAGTTCCCGTCTTTGGAAGCTGGGAGGGGAAGACATGGATCAGGAGGCTGACCGAGAGGCCATGTTCTGGATGACACATTTATTCCTCTTTCTTCTGACACCCTCCCCTCCCTGAGATAAAAGCCCCACTGTTTTTTATACTCTTTGTTGTCTCCGCCTGAAATGCCTTCTCTCCCCTGACCCCTTCCTCCTGACCCCTCCATGGTCCCTATGTAACCTTGTCCTGCAGTTACTAAACTCTCTGAGTACTCTGAGTAGTAGCTGTGTCTCGTCCTATCCAAGCCCAGCTCTGTCCCTACAGCCCGGAGGGGTGGGCGGGGGAATGGCCTTGGGAGGCCCAGTGGGCTTGTCACTGTCTCGCTCTGACCACACTGGCTCCCTGAGCAGCCCTCCTCTGCCTCCTTGATGACCCTGTTTCCACTGAGACACAAGCCCTCCAGCCGCACCTCCCTGCACCCCGCCCCTCTGCAGCCATTGCCTTCTCAAGCGCTGGGCCCTGCTGAAATCGTGGGCATCTGGAAGTCCGGGCTAATGGCCCTCTCAGTGCCCAGTTGGTCAGCTTTTGACCTTCTCTCCATTTGACTTCCTTTACTTACTCCCACATCCACCCTACACCTTGTCAGAAGCCAAAGTGTGTCACCTCCCAAATCACGCCATGAGCCATTCACCCCTCTCCGTCTGCTCCCCACCTCCTCTCCTAGCCAGCTCTCACACTTCTACTCCATGAGCTCCTGCCCTCACCTTTCCGTCAACACTTTCCCTCTTCACTGCCCCCACATCCAGCTTAGAATCCTCATTTCCACCATTCTCCTGCCAACATCTCAACCCTCTTGGCTCTGTCTTCCACGGTGCCTTCCTGTCTTCTCTGAGTCTGCCGCTGGTCGCTGAGAGCTGGTACTTGGTGGCAGTTGGTCCCATGCCACATTCATGGCGCTGCTGACCCCAACAGGCCTTCAGTCATGGGTGGCCATCCTGGTTTCTCATAAGCTTGCTCCCCCCGAATGACTGCAGCTCCAACCTTCCCACTCTCCTGTTCTCCAAGCTTCCACCTCCCTTGAAATCCATCACAGAAAATGAGATGTCAGTTGGTACATCCAGAATTGTCTCATCCTCAGATCCGGAAGCCAGGCTGACTGCCCCCAGCTTCTCCTGGTGTCTGGCCCTTCCTCCCTGCTTGGAAGCCTCACTATGGCCTGCTTCTCCTCCTGCTGACCCAGTCCCCCCTCCACTGGCTTTCTTCGGCTTTTCCCACCTGTACAAACCCTCTCTTCACCCTACATCCTCCTCCTCCCTATCTCTTGCCTCTTGGCTCTTCTCTTAGCAGCCAAGCTTCTTGAAGGACTTACCTGGGCTCATAGGCTGCTTTTCCTCACCTCCCACTCACTCCTGTACCTGCTCCAAACTGGCTTCTGTCCCCCCTCCCCTTCCTGGGAATGCCTCTGTCACCACAAAGCCCAGAGGACCCTTTTGAGTTCTCTTTGCTTCACGAGACCTTTCTGCCTCATTAATACTGCTGGCCTTCAACCTCCTGGAAAGGCTGTACCCTGGGTGTCTCCAACAACTCTTACTGCAGGGTTTCCTCCTAAATTTTTGGTTTCCCTCTCTTTTCTTGATCGGGTCCCAAAGGACCTGGTTTCCTGATGCTGAGGGCATGGCGCCGCTCCCATCCCACTCTACAGTCTGGCGGGTCTTAGAACTGCCAACCACCTGCAGATCTGCATGTTGGGCCTGGGCTTCTCTCCTGAGCTTCCAGACCCATCCACATACTCGTCTCACAGGCATCTCCATCCTGCCTCAGGACCTTCAAACAGAATGTTTTCTCCCCTCTTCACCTACCAAATACCTCCTTCAGATGCCACCCAAGATGTACTTAATTAAAGCAGATGAAATCCACTTCCTTTAGCCTCCTAATAAGTCAGCTTAGCATTTCCCCACATAGCCTCTCTTTTTTAATGAAGTAGAATTCATATAACATGAAATTCATCATTTTTTTTTTTAAGATTTTTTTTTTATTTATTTATTTGAGACAGAGAGGATAAGAGACAGAGAGCATGAGAGGGAGGAGGGTCAGAGGGAGAAGCAGACTCCCCGCCGAGCAGGGAGCCCGATGCGGGACTTGATCCTGGGACTCCAGGATCATGACCTGAGCTGAAGGCAGTCGCTTAACCAACTGAGCCACCCAGGCGCCCCGAAATTCATCATTTTAACCACTTCCTAGTGTATCATTCAGTGGCATTTAGTACCTTCACAATGTGGTGCAACCATCACCACTAATTCCAGAACATTCTCATCACCCCAAAAAGAAACCCTATTATACCCATTGAGCAGTCACTTCCTACTCCTCCCTGAGGCCCCCAGCTCCTGGTAACCACTCGTCTACTGTCTGTATGGATTTGCCTGTTTGGGACATTTCACAGAAATGACATCATCTATGTGCCCTTTGTGTCTGGCTTCTTTGACTGAGCAGAATGTTTCATAACATCCTGTAGTTCATTAGTTCAGCAGATACTTAGTAGCTACTGTGGGCCAGAAGGTGCTGTACTTTCCCATTGTAACACACATCACATCCGTAATTAAGTAACTGAGAAGTCATCTCTTAACTACTTGTCTGTGAGCTCCCTGGGGTCAGAGCTGGTGTCCACCGTTCATCCTGGTGCCTGCCACCGCGTCTGGCACGTGGGAGGTGCTCACAAGTTTGTGGTGAATGCAAGTCAGATGTTGGGCAGAGGGCTGCGTCTGCCCAGGTCACCGGTGTGGGCTGGCCCGGGAGTAGCCACTCAGCGTTTACTGAGCAGAGGAAATGAGCCCTGCTTCGTGGTGGAGGGTAGGGAGTGGAAGAAGGGCGGGAGCTGAGCTTTGGGAGGGCTGAGCCCACGGCTGCCCCCTGACCCTCTTGCTTTCTTCTTGCAGGCAGAGTGTCTCTGGCTCAGTTTGCCCTGGCCTTTGTGACCGACACGTGTGTGGCAGGTGCACTGTTGTGCGGGGCCGGGCTGCTCTTCCATGGGATGCTGCTGCTGAGGGGCCAGACCACATGGGAGTGGGCTCGGGGCCAGCACTCTTATGACCTGGGCCCTTGCCACAACTTGCAGGCGGCCCTGGGGCCCCGCTGGGTCCTCGTCTGGCTCTGGCCCTTCCTGGCCTCCCCATTGCCTGGGGATGGGATCACCTTCCAGACCGCAGCTGATGCGGGCCTCGTGGCTTCCTGACTCCAGAAGGAGCCGGAGCTGTTCAGGGAGAGGGTAGCAGGAAAGGGGGCTCCTAACTCCTTTCGGGCCCATCCCCAGCCTCCCGTCCCGTCCTTGGCCTTGCCCCTGCCCAGCCTGGACTCCAGTGTCCAGGGCTTGGGTCCTGCAACTCTGCCTCTGTTGGCCCCCCGAGTAGAGTGGACAGTTGGTAAGGGGCTGCTTGGCCAGCCTAGTCACCCCTTTGCTGCGTTAATAAAGCGCCCACTTGGTTCTTGGACTCTGTCCATCTTTCTGGGTTTCTGGTCCCTCGCTGTTGCCCAGGCTGCTGTTTCTGGTTTCCTCTGATTGCCACGCATGGGAACCACAGAATGCCTGAGGGCTTAAGGGACCAGGGCTCTTCCTGTGGCTTTGGTGTGGGGGGCTGGGGCACCAGCAGACCAAGGTGGCGTGTGGTGATCCAGGGAACGAGAATCCAACATTCTTTCCCAGGTTCAGTGCTTTATGTTTAGAAGCCTCTCCATAACACTCACTGTGCCTCCCTCTGGCTACTCTGGTACCAGGGGCAGCAATTATGATGGTTGATGTGAGAAGATCATGGGGCAGTGAATGGAGGAGTCAGGATTTGAACCCAGATCTTTGTGCTTTCTCCTTCACCCTTGCACAGCTAAGGAAAGTGAGTAGCAAAATCGAGGCAGAGAAATCAGGTGGATGTTCAAGCATCAGCTTCTTCAGAAGCTACCTGTTAAACATTTTTATTTAAATATGGTAAATAGACTTCCAGTTAAATGTAGCAGGTTTAAATACATGGGTTTACCTCTGTTTCCTTTTAAAATCTAAAATGATAGTAAAGACATAAAACAGATACAAATTTACAAGGACAAAGAAAATAGAAGGGAGACAGGAATAGATCAAAGAGCCTGATGACATTCTGAAAGATGGGAAGTGGATGGGGGCTCATTTCCTCTCTTAGCAGAGAATTAGAAGTTAATTCCTAGAGGGAGGGACCAAGAGGCAGCCAAACTGCCCCCCCCCCCCCCCCCCCCGCCCCCAGGGCCCTGGAGAGGCTCAGGAACTCTCCTGGCACCATGGAAGGCAGGGTTTGGGACTGACAGTAGGGACTGACCCAAAGTCTGTATGAGGAGCAGCTAATTGCCCCTTCCCCCCACCCCGGGGCCCCCTTGCAGCCAAGCAGCTACCCCTCTGAGGTACAGATGGGGGCTATTCGAAGAAGCTTTGGGTCTCAGGGGAGGGTTGGGGTGAGGGGCTGGACCAAAAATGGGGTTAAGTGAAGAAGTCTACAGATGCTGCCTTGGGTGGTGGAGATGTCATCCAAGGACATGGCAGGCTTGTCACCCAGGAACGCTCAGAGAAGCCCATCCTTCTGAGAGGCCCTGCCCATACCCACAAACCTTTGAGCTGCTAGGACTTCTTTGTTTTCCCAAATGGCACGTTCAACTGCTAGTTCTTAATGGTTAGGAAAGTGGTGTGCCTGGCATTTTGTGCTGTACGGAAGCATGGGCCGACTTCTTGTCTCCTCCGCTTTCTGTTGTTTTTATTAAATAGTAAGGAGATGCAAGAAAATATTTAGAAAATAAATTCCCTCCTTCCCCCCATTTAAGAAACGGATACCATTTCCTTTGAAGTCCCCACTGTGCCCCTCCCCGGTGGAGAAAACACTGTACTGTCTGAATCATTCCCTTGCTTTGCCTTGTAATCATATTACCTAGGTTTGTATTGGTTTTGCATGTTTTTGAATTTTATATAAATGGAATCATACTGTGTTTTTTCTTCTGTGACTTGCCTTTTCACTCAATATTATGTTTCTGAGATTTATCCAGATGAACGTGTAGAGCTGTAGGGCATTCCATTCCTTCTCCTTGCTGTATAGTGCGCCATTGACTATACCACAACTTATTTTTCCACTGTCACCCCTATTGTAGGACTCCCTAAGATCTATTCTTGGTCCTTGCTCTTTCATATAAATTTTAGAATCCACTTGTCAAGTTCCACCAGTAAAAAATACCTTTGAGATTGTGAATGAAACCCAACTGAATCTAAAGATCAACATCCATATGAAACTGAAATTGCATTTTTCAGTTCATGAACATGGCGTGTCCATTAAATGTTTTCAATAAAGTTATATACTTTTTCTCATAAAGATCATGCCTTTTTTGGTTAGATTTATTATTATTATTATTATTATTTAAGGATTTTATTTATTTATTTAATTGACAGAGAGAGAGAGGGAATACAAGCAGGGGAAGTGGGAGAGGGAGAAGCAGGCTTCCTGCTGAGCAGGGAGCCCAATGCGGGGCTTGATCCCAGGGCCCTGGAATCATGACCTGAGCCGAAGGCAGCCGCTTAACCAACTGAGCCACCCAGGCGCCCCTAGATTTATTATTATTATTTATTTTTTTTAGAGAGAGCGTGCACGAGTGGGGGGAGGGGAGGGGCAGAGGGAGAGAGAGAATCCTAAGCAGTCTCCATGCTCAGGATGGAGCCCAATGCAGGACTCAATTTCACGACCCTAAGATCATGACCTGAGCTGAAATTGACATTCGGACGCTTAATGAACTGAGCCACCCAGCATGGGTTTCTTTTTAAATAGATGCCCCTTAAGTTCCCTTCTAGTCCAAATATGTTAATAATTTGTATTCTTTTACTTTCAATTGTTTTGTCTCTTGAGATCAGCCTATAGATGGATTTTTTTTTTTTTAAGATTTTATTTGAGAGAGAGAGAGCACGAGTTTGGGGAGGGAGGGGCAGAGGGAGAGGGAGACGCAGACTCCCCGATGAGCAGGGAGCCTGACTTGGGGCTCAATCCCAGGACCCTGGGATCATGACCTGAGCCGAAGGCAAACGCTTAATTGACTGAGCCACCCAGGTGCCCTGTAGATGGAGTTTTAAAAATCTAGACAAGACTGTCTTCCAGTTGAAATATTTGGTCATTTATATTTATTGCAATTAATGTACTTGGGTATATTTCTACCACTTTATTTTGTGCTATTTGTCTCACTTTTTGTAGTTTTTAGTTTCTTACTCTTTTTATAATTAAAGTTACTTTTTGCTGGATGCAGAATTCTAGGTTAATAGTTATTTCCTCTCAATGTTAAAAATATTACTCTGTCGGGGCGCCTGAGTGGCTCAGTTGTTGGGCGTCTGCCTTCGGCTCAGGTCGTGGTCCCGGGGTCCTGGGATTGAGCTCTGCATTGGGGCTCCCTGCTCTGTGGGAGGCCTGCTTCTCCCTCTCCCACTCCCCCTGCTTGTGTTCCCTCTCTCACTGTATCTCTGTCAAATAAATAAATAAATCTTTAAAAAAATATATCATTCTGTCTTTTGGTTTCCATCATTGCTGTTAAGTCAACTGTCATCTATTGTTTTTCCTTTGAAGATACTCTTGTCTCCAATGCTTTTAGGATTTTTTGTCTTCGGTATTCTGCAGTTTACTGTGATGTGCGCAAGTGTGGTTTTCTTTGTATTTACCCTAAAGAAATTCCTTGGGTTTCCTGATTCTATGAATTGATGTCTTTCATCAGTTCTAGAAGATTCTTACACCACATATATTTTCTCTGTCCCTAGTGAAGCTCTGATGAGACCTTCCTATTCCATCCTCACATTTTCTATCTGTTTCTGGCCTTCTGGATAATTTCTCCAGCTCTACCTTCCAGTTAAGTCTTTCTTCAGCTGCAAAACCCATCTATTGAGTTTTTTTCTTTTTTAAGTGATTGTGCCCATTCATCCATGAGTTTTACGTGTCAAATATTTTATTCTCCTTTCTAGTTCTGTTTGGTTCTTTTTCAGATTTGCTTGGTCATTTTATATCCTCTCTTGCTCTCTACTTATATTTCAGGGTTTTTGTTTTTGTTTGTTTTTGCTTTAAATATATTAAAGACACACATCTTACATTGTTTAGTAATTCCAATATCTTAAGTCTTTGAGGCCTGAGTACGTGGGCTGTTGTTTATGGTGGCTCCTCTTCACATCTTTTTTTTTTTTCAATTAGCAATAATCGCGCCTTGGATAAACCTCATTGGCTACGATACTGCCACTGCGCAAAGCTATGTCTTTTTTTTTTTTTTAAGATTTTATTTATTTGACAGAGAGAGAGAGACACAGCGAGAGAGGGAACACAAGCAGGGGGAGTGGGAGAAGGAGAAGCAGGCTGAGCAGGGAGCCTGATGCGGGGGTCGATCCCAGGACCCTGGGATCATGACCTGAGCAAAAGGCAGACGCTTAACAACTGAGCCACCCAGGCGCCCCCACAATGTCTTATTTTCTTGCAATTTGTGGGTTTTGACTGTGAGTTCCTTTTTCTTGGCATTTTATCAAGGGGATTGTTTTTGAGATTGGGTCAGCAGTAAATTCCTCCGGAGAAGATAGGTGTTTCTCAGTCATCTGATGACAAACAAATCCTGCACCACTTTATACTAAATTTTCAGCTATGGGTCTTTTGGACCACCCAGGTATTGTCAATTTAGGTGTAAACCTATTCAGGCTGGCTGTGGTTAAAAAAATCTCAGGAGAGGTTTTTCTCCTGCTTCTACCTTGCACTTGGCTTGGAGATAGACAATTGCCCTGCTGGTTCTGATGAGATTTCCCAGAACCAGCTTTTGGTTTTGTTGATTTTCTCTGCTAATTTCCGGTTTTCAATTTTAATTGATTTCTGCTCTAATTCTTTTTTTTTTTTTTTTCTGCTTACTTTGGACTTATTTTGTTCTTATTTCCCAAGGTGGAAACTTATTGATATTAGATCTTTCTTCTTTTCTAAAACATGCATTCAGTGCTATACATTTCCCTTAAAGCACTGCTTTGCTGTGTCCCACAAATTTGGTAAGTTGTGTTTTCATTTAGTTCAAAAGATTTTTAAATTTTTCTTGAGATTTCATCTTTGACTCACTTGTTATTTAGAAGTGTGTTGTTGGGACGCCTGGGTGGCTCAGTCGGTTAAGTGGCTGCCTTCAGCTCAGGTCATGATCCCAGGGTCCTGAGATTGAGTCCTACATCGGGCTCCTTGCTCAGCGGGGAGCCTGCTTCTCCCTCTGCCTGCCTCTCCCCGTTTGTGTTCTGTCTTGCTCTCTGACAAATAAATAAAATCTTTAGAAGTGTGTTGTTTCGGGTGCCTGGGTGGCTCAGATGGTTAAGTGTCTGCCTTTGGCATGGTTCATTATCCCAGGGTCCTGGGATTGGATCCCACATGGCACTCCTAGCTCAGAGAAAATGGGAAAAAATCACTCAAGAAAACAAAATTTTGTGGGAGTGAAGGATATACATCTCCAC